CATCCTGAACTCTACCTGCTAGCACAGCGGTTCTCAACCTGTGGGTCGCGACCCCTTTGGCGGTCAAACGATCCTTTCACAGGGGTCGCCTAAGACCATCCTGCATATCAGATATTTACATTACGATTCATAACAGTAGCAACATTACGGTTATGAAGTAGCAACGGAAATAATTTGATGGTTGGGTCACAACATGAGGAACTGTATTTAAAGGGCCAGAAGGTTGAGAACCACTGTGCTAGCAGGAGAGGTAGACTTCTGGCGCAGGGAGAGAGATCAGGGGCCCACCCCTCCTTTTCTTACCCAGCCCAGTTCCCCACAGGCCTAGAAGCCCCTGAAAGTTTCCCCAGGGTATAACTTTAGTCTGCTTCATTTTAATATTTTTTAAATTGACTTCAGAGAGAGAGGGAGAGAGAGATAGAAAGGAAATGGGTTTAAAATGAAGCAGTGTGTGTCCAGCTGGTGTTGCTCAGTGGTTGAGCCTCAACCCGTGAACCAGGAGGTCACAGGTTTGGATTCCTGGTCAGGGCACATGCCTGGGTTGTGGGCTCGATCCCCAGTAGGGGGCGTGCAGGAGGCAACTGATCTATTCTTTCTCATCATTGATGTTTCTAAGACTACCTGGATATGTGGTTTGGGGCCTGCCTACTCCTCCTCTTCCTGTCTCTGTCCACTTAACTGTCATTTTTCAAATACTTTAGCACCTCCAAGCTACTCCGGGTCTGGCCGGGGACTAATCTTCCCACAGCTTCCTGCCTCACACACCACCAACGCCCTCGGTGTACACGGCCTACCTACGTGGCCTCTCCGGTTTTCTCTTTCAGCTCCCATCGCGCGCCCTGCTGCCTCCCATCTCTGCATGGCAGTCCTCTTGCTGGAGAAACTTCGGCCTGTTGTGCTCTCTGCCCTCTGCTTTGCTTAGGTCAGCCTGAGACCTTCAGGGCCCAAGTCAAATGCTCTGTCCTCAGCAACAGCTCCCCACCCAGAACAAATCCTGCAATCCTGTCCTTATTACGCCCTCCGGCACCGTCCTCTGGTTTATTTGTTTATAACCTAACACAAGACCAAACCCAGGAGGACAGAGACCCATACTTTTTTCTTTGCTCCCTGCTTTATCCTCAGAATCAGACACAGGACTGTCCGTAAGTGCTTGAATGAATAAATAAGAGTGAAGTTGAGGGTTTAGACAGCCTTGTAAGTTTCTGCTCCCACTGCCAGCCCCGGGACAAGTATCTCTATGGACAGCCTGCACCCAATTGCTTCCGATTCAGCCCAAGCAAATATCCCGATTTTGCTGGTTCCACTGAATCTCTACGATGTACTTTCAACCCACACGTCATGCCAGCAAGACTGCGTTCCCTAAGTATGTGTTTATACAGAGGAACATTCCCATTTCTCAGTAATTGCTATTAAGTTAATACTTATAGAAGGCCAATCCTCCTAACATTCCCATGATGAAGACACTTTTTTCCTATTTAGCGTCACCAGAGTACAGGAGAAGAAACGTATGCACACACACACACAGCATTTGAACAGGGATGTGCTCCCAGGCTACATGGCTGAAAGACCAGTAGCTTACATTCAAGCCCAAATTCTGCAAACATCCCAGAAACAAGCCTCCGGGGTACGGTGCTAAAACCACGGCCCGCCGCTTCCCTCCCCCTCCCGAGCCCTTCCGGACGCAGGCGCCGCGCCGCGCCGCGCCCCGCCCCGCCAGGAGCACGCGCGCACCCACGCGGACCCGGCTTTGCTGTGTCACCCCGGTGGCCGCACCCCACCTCCGCGCGCTCAGGAGCTCCGCCCCCACCCGGCCCGACCAATCCGCGGGCCCGGCCCCGCCCTTCCCGGGCGCTGGGAAGCGCCCCAGCCCCGCCCCCTCGGCCGGAGGGCGGGCGGAAGGGCGCCCGCTGGTGGGAGGCAGCCGGCTGGGAGCAGTCGAGAGGCAGTGCGTCCGCCCTTCAGCGAGTCAGGCAGCGGTTATCTCAGTTCTGTGACCCCGCGGCCGAGGCCGAGGGAGGGGGTGCTCCCCCGCTGGCTTCTAGCCCAGCCCTCAGGCTTCCCGAGCCCGCCGACAGGGAGACCCGCGGCGCCTCCGCCCCCGCCCCGCGCGGGCAGGCAGCCCTAGGCCCTCCCACTCCCCCAACGGCCGACGCCGACTCCGTCTCCGCTGCAGCCGTGCGTGGCGGCCCGCCCCACCCCCACAGCCTCCTTCCCGGCACGCGAACCTACGGCCGGTTTCCAAGGAAACCGAAACTCGGGCCGTCATGGCAACAGTCTTATCTGACGGGTGCTCCTCCCCCCCCCCCTTCTGAAGGCCCATGCCCCAACGGAGGGCACACAGCCAATACGGCCGCCTGGGAAGGGCTTTTTA